AGAAGCGAAGTCGGTGAACGAGAGCCGCTTGTGCAATTTACTCCAATGGCGTGTCCGGAGTCAATGCTAGGACCTTGCACTCCGCGCGCACATGCATACACGTGCATATCATAAGCGCGTGGTGGACGCGTGTGCGGAGAAGGGAACCGCAACGAGGAGAGCCCGTACCGCGAAGCTAGGAATTGAAGAGGATAAGCGAACAAAGGAGGACAAACGAACGGAAGAAGATAAGAGAACTGAACGCGAAATTCCCGCTATAAAAGGGGGAGAAGTTGGGAATGAGTGGAGCTCAGGATTTTTGTTTGAAGAGGATACAGACATTAGTAGAGAAAGAGAATTGAAGCAGGGGAAATGAGAAATTTAAAGATGAGAAAGTTGATCTCCGTATTTTTGGTGCGATAGCGATAGAAGAAAATTAAAGAGTGGATGGGGGAATGAGAACTGTAGAGATGAAAAAGTTCTGTTCAAGATGGAAGGATGAGCCAAGCTCGAAACTCCGTTCCTAATCGAGTTTAATTTTAAATCTGGAATGAAGTTTCAGTTTGAAGTAAAAATGGACAGAGTAAAAACAGTCAACGATATAAAATTTAACCTCAAACTCAAACTTATTTATCCTTCTTCGAATATCACCAAAGTACGCGTCTCGATCCAAATACTCGTAGGTTACAGTTCCGATGGAACGAGGCAATCGGAAATCCACAGGTTAATTAATAAACCAGACGCGCGAGACGAGTCGGCCTTTTCCTACCACGCGACGCATCAAACGGCGATACTCGGGATCTGATCGCGATTAGTCAGGCGATAGTCGAGAATCGACACGCGGTGGATATCGTTTCGATAAACGTAGAAATGAGAACCGTTCTGTTCCCAGCGTGGCACGTGTGACGCGTGTAAATGTTTTCGCCGCTCCGAGGACGGAATCGCGAGCGATATTTGGATTCTCGTGGCGGAATCAACGATCGCCGAGGCGTTCCCTTTTGTTCCTTTTCGTTCGGTGCAGGGGATGAAAATTTCCCGGTTCGACGTCGCGATCTCGCCGCCAAATACGCAAAATTTCTCCGTCTCTCGCCCTTTTCAGTCGGGCCAACCGTTCCGCCAACGGTTGGATATTAGTAGTTCTTTCACGGAGTTGAACGGCCATGGAAATGTGCTGATTGTTAGTCGCTGGGGAAAATCGCAGCCCCTAATATTTCACGGTCTTACGTCCGAGTTAGAGCTCCGCAGTTACCCTCGCGCTATCTCATCTACTTTGTCCGTCTTCCGTGGAAGAGAAAGGGCTTAATTGACATTCTGTATATCGTGTTTGTAAATTTCTCTTTCAGAGGATTTTTTACGAAAAGTCGAACGTTTATGTATTATCTAAAAGTAAATGTACCGAATTGTTCAGCTGATAAATTTTGACGAACAAGTGCCCCTAGATCAACGGTGAACTAAAAGTGCGCCAAGGTCCAGGTAAAGTAACGGTAATTACACCTGGCACAGGTCATATCAGGATTATTGCCTCGTCCTTAAATTACCGTCATTTAATACGATGCCCTACAATCCCTATGAAAATTCACCGAACCGACCAGGTAGTTTCTACTTAATGCCTCTGTTCGTCAGGTAGACCGATGGTAGCGGAAACAAAAGAAACCGTGCAGTTCCCATTGTGCCTACTAAACCTCCTGTGCAATTTTCCCCTCGACAAAGGCTACGCGTAAAATATCTCGTGAACACGCCATTTCAAAAACACGAAGACTTTCTAGACGAATCGAATGAGTGGGTTCTGCTGAAATAGGATTAAATTATCGTGTTCGTTGAATATATTTTATACGTAAATAACGAATGAAAAGTTGTTCAAAAGGATAAGGAAAGGTCTCGAGTCTCGGATTTTTTTTTTAAACGGCCAGCGAGCAATGTCACAAAATAAATGTAGAAAGTTTCCCGGATGACAATATTTTTGTTACGGTAGGTGGGGAGAAAAAAAAATCGAAGTGGACCAAATAACGCATGGCTGGTAAAGCGTTTAAAGCAGTGCGTGTTAACGGTGGGTACTCTTGACAACGGGAAGCAAACTCTTCGGGCGTAAACAGAAACTCCGGTGCCAGCGGTATTTGCGAAAGAATTAAGCTTGCCAAAACGCCGTGTGTTTACCGAAACGCAAACTAACCGCGTGGGAATTAAAAAAATAAAATAAGGAAAACTCACCGCGTACTCGATAATAAAGTGGACGTTAAGTGAGCTCGTGCTCCTTTTAAAAATTGGCCGGTACTTTCTATACGTTGCGATAAAATAAATAAATTAGATCTAACAGAAATTATTTTACCATATTTAAATAATAACACGGGTACTTAATGGATTGAGAACTGCTCGCAGCTGTGTTAACGGAATAAAAGTAGACTAAAGCTATCGTTTTATGCGCTCGATGTGGCAATTACCAGATTAACGCAGTTTACACCGCGTAGAATACAAGGGCGATTAAAAATTTCATGTTTCTGTAATTGCACAGCGCTTAAACGGAATTTTTCGCGTATCGAAAACCAGTCTGGAACTAATGAGGCGGAACGAGTGGCCATAATTCTGCGGTGACGCTGCAGAATTCTTGGGAATCGAATACGAAGGTAATTTGTCGAATACCAGGGAACGACCGTCACCGATAATGTCCCAAAACCGCACCAAGAAGCTCCCGAACGTTAACAGTTCAACTGGTTCGAGGGGAACACGGAGGATAATTAAAAAATTCTGATTAATTAAAAAATTTGTTTCAAAAATTAAAAGCAGATCAAACGTGAATGCAAAGTTTTTGTTTGCGTAACGACTCCTGGTCGACGATAAAAACGTTAATGGCTCACCGTGTGCTACTTAAAGGTACATAAATCAAGAAAACAACTTCGCGCGACAATACGTCATCCTATTCGTGGCACGGTGCAAGAAACTACACCGTGCACACCGTAGGATGCACGCGGCAAAAAGAGTTAGGGGATGAAGCAAGGGGGTTGTGGGTGGTAGGAGCAGAGATTTATACCGCTGCTTATCGAACTCACAAATTACTCGCGGCTGGAAAATGGCAGCGATTTATGCGCAAGCTAAGATGGAAAGTGCGTTTACTCTCAAACGAATCCGGAGAGCTGTTGTTTGGCGTGTTGCGAGCGTTGGAAAGTGGTGTTAATTGGTCGACCGTTTCAGGAATTAAAATGTTTAGAAAATTCGATTACCGCGATTGCCCGCAACGGCAATAATTGTTTCGACCAGAGACCGATCCGAAGTGGTAGTTACCAGCGAACTTTGGAAAATTTGAATAATTTGTGACGTCTGACAAGGTAGAAATCGAATTACTCTTTCTATACGGTACACGATTGTCCGGTACGAAAATCTGTAAAACTTCCGTGCATTTGTTTCTGAAGTGGGTACAATAAATATACGGGGAATAACTATTCAAAACAAAAGTTTGATATAGCATCGAAACAGGACACCCGATGGATAACATTCAAATGTACACTTCTTGTAGTAACAATTTTTTGCAAGTCGTCAGAATGGCTAGAGGCGATGATTTGTTTGTCAATAAAAGGGGTCCCGATACTCGCGAATGCGAGAATTCACGGAACATGTTTGTATACAATATTTGAAGTAATACATAAAAATGTATTCTTACAGTAGTTCAACTCTAATCATTATGATATACCAAGCGATATAGAATGTAGAATCACGTAAGGTATGAGTTTGTTATAATCACTAATAACACGTTCGTCGTAAGTGCAATCGTTTGATTAAATGAAAAATGTACAACAATTACAGTGATTGATACGATTAGATTCAAGAATACTCTATCCATATAAAAAAAAAGCTCGATTGACGACAGAGGTGCATTAAAGCTTCGTAAGGCCCAAAAATTAAATAGAATCAAAAATGCCATAACAAAATTTAAGGAGTGAGTCTGGTCCAGCTAATGTATTTTTCTGATGCATATAATTTCCAGGTATAATTAATTTTTGTTATTGAAACTTTTTTGTACATATAAAGGAACGTTCAAAGAAGAACATCTGACAGTGTAAATTTAATTTGAATGTATACATATATAGATGCTTATGCTTTATATGCTTACGAACCTCGATTCTTAATGAATCATTATTATAGCATAAAGTTACTGGAAAATAACGGCCGACATATATCGTTCATTTTCATGTTTTTTGCCGCCATTTTTGCAATTAACAATTTTTTTTTTTGGAAATTGAGGTTCATACACATTTTACGTATCTACTAAAGCAACAAATTTTCTGATGTTTTTCAAGGGCTCCACGTATCCCACCGTTTTGACCGAATCCTTTCCTTGCGACTACTACATCTATATATGTGTACATTTAAATTAAATCTACACTGTCAAATTTTCTTCTTTGAACGTCCCTTTATATGTAAAAAAAAAAAATTTCAATAACAAACATTAATTATATCTCGAAAATATACGCATTAGAAAAATACTTAAGGGATATCCTGAATTAGGAGGTCTAAAAAAAGCGGTTTTTCGTGAATTTTTTTAGGATGGAAAAAAATAATTAATTCTATCGAACTCTTTATCCTATTTTCATACATATTTGAGTAGTCTGTAGACATTTTTTTCGACAAGAAATATTCAAATTGAGTCGACTGTGACTCACATTTGTAGAGCACCTCACAATTAAGACCTCGTATCGGCGGGAAAGATGCAGGACGTAATTTTGGTTTGACATAAAAAAAAATACCAAAAAAAATTTTCATTTTCATACATTTTCCTTTCATGTGAGCTAAGAAAAACCCGCAAAAATGGTGAAATGTGAAATTACTGCAAGTTTGAAAAAAAAGAACGTGTTCTTTGGGTGGTAAAAAGATCACTTTAACTTAATAAAAAAGTTCTTAAAAAATTTTACGAAGACGAGAAAACGAACAAATTGTCATTTTTAGTCGATTTAAGACCTGAACTTTGGGCCTTGTGGATAATGCACCGGTCGTAAATAAACAACAATATCGTCGAGTGTGCAATTACTCACCAGACGACGCCGAAGGCACCATATCCGATGGGTCTGTCGGGCTGAACGGGATCCTGGGCCGGCGGCGGCGGCGGGGGCGCAGGAGCGGCGGGGTGGTAGTAGGTGGGGGGTGCTTGGGCCGCAGCCGCTGCCGCGGCCGCCGCAGCGAGGACCGCTTGCCCCGGGTGGGCCCCCGTTGTCCCGCCGCCCCCCGTCGCCCCCGCCCCACCCCCCTGCATCAGCGACATAGACACGCTCATGGACACCCGCGAGTGCCGGCTGGGCCCAACTACTGCCATCAAAGCTCTCCTCTCGTCCTACGGGCCACCCTCCTCAACCTACAAATAGGGATGTTCGATTCTCGTGAGAAAAACCGATTCGAAAATAGGTAAAATGACAAACAAAATATCGATCCGAGATGGTGTCTCTTAAATTGAAAACTACGTAACGCGAATGCTTTTAAAATCTTTTAATACGTGATGCATGAGTTATCGCGCGAGAAATGGTTAACTAGAAATTGAAGAGATATACCAAGAACGAATATCAACGAGCTGATGTAATACCGATTTTATTATCGAGAACATGGTGGACGAAAATGGTTAATATTCTAACGGGTTTTCTAAGTGGGGCTTTAATATCATTAACACGTTGGTCGCCACGTCACACAGAAACGGGTGACAGGACTTTCTATCAAGGAACTAAAAATATTAATTTCGAAGGTGAGGCGGTAATGGAAATAAATCTGGATAGCATCCGTTAATTTGATGTGGTAACAAAAATGAAATACTAGGACAAGTGTTAAATTAAATCTAATCTTCGATGGTCTCGAACAAAGATTTTAATTTTATAGACATTTCCACGAGATTCAGTCTGGCAGCCACAACGTGTTAATATCTTTTGTAGGTTAGAAACGAAATACTATTGTACGTTTAGTTCTGAACATTCAAATCATTCGTTCGTTAAACACAAGATCCTGACAGGCCCTTTTGGAGAACCCTTTATTTCGATAATGGATAACGGATAAGAGTATTATTTTGATTGTCTAAAAAATCGATTCGCAATCGAACATCCCTACCTCAACCCTTTCCTGATTCACCGCCACCGCCACCGCCAAGGCCCCCGCTGTTTCAGGGAACCTGGGACACGCCTCGTCTCCGCGCTCCTGCTTCCCGTTTCTATTTTTCCTCACTATTTTCACCTTTCCCAGGGAACACTTTGATCTCGTTGCCTCCGCGGCGGGACACGCACGTGACACTGACACACAACTTCGTCGAGGTCGTTTCCTTTTTTCTTCACCGCGCGATCGAGAAGAACATTCGTCCAGGACGAACGAGCTTTATGATCATCGACGTTTATCGATGATCGTATCCGTGGCTCTCGCGATCACTGCTTGCCAGGCCTCGCGGATTCCCCGCACTGTACAGTCGGAAAACGGTGGTTCTTTACACGTCCAACGATTTCACTATCGCAATCGATACCATGACGCGATTAAAAAATATGAGAACCTCTGATGTATCTGGAACGATTAAAGTAGCGATTAAGGAAGCTTTATGATCATCGACGTCTATCGATGATCACTTTGTTACTGTTTTCGCGTACCACTGATAAGAAGCGTCGTAGATTTGTCGTGAAACAGTAGCTTTCACGAGTCGAATGTTGCTATGTATTCCACGGCACAGGTTCGAGAGCATAAGATCCGTTGGTTCGTCGTTTATCGATGATATTGTACCGTGGCTCTTTTCGCAATCATTGGTGGCAGGCTTCGTAGTAGAGAAGTAGTTGTTCACAGGTGGAGCGATTCGTGTGTGGTAGTCGATTCCATGTCGTGATTTTGGAGCACGATTCTCGTTACGTCTCGAACGTTTCAAGTATAGATTCGAGGTTCGATTAAGGTCGGTAGTAACGAGTTCTGTGAAAATAATTAATCGCGTTACGGAGTTACTCGTTCGTCGCGAACTTTGCGATTTAAATAACGCGCGCTTACTGGAGAACGGCGGGAAGGGTCGAAGGGGGCTACGTGACACCACGCTCGACACAGCACAGCGACTGCGGTCGCGTCCTTTATCGCAACCACGTAGAAAGCGATAACGGAGGTTGGTCGTCGACAAAGACAGTCGATGTCCTCGTGCACGTATCCCGCGACTTCAGTTGGCGGAGGACGGGGCGTTGCGTGTCGAGACGTTTTCAATTCGAAAGCGTCGAGAATAGGACGAACGGTCACGGGTTCGTCGAGTCGTTTAGCAACTCGATGCTACTTATCGAGACAAAAGGTGTCCTCGATCGCGCGATTATCGCGAGTCACGAATGCAGGTGCGTTGAAAGTACGCGCCACGTTTTTTTCCGCGTAGTCACAGAGATCCACGGGTGACGACGCTTTAGGTTATGTTTGACACACGCACGCTATCCGTTCTCCCTCTTCCCGTCAGTTACGCTCAGCTGGCCTCATAACGTTGCATTCAGAGGTGGAAAGGGGGCGGTGCTTGTCCCGTAAGAAAAGCACGCTAGCACGAAACAGAGAAAGGAACGAGAGAACACTGAAAGGCTCGGTCGAGTCCTCGATGGCCACAGAGCGATTCCGGCGTTTGGGGCCAAATTATTCCACGGTTCGCGTACGACCGACGAATTTCTCTCACTGTCCGGGTCCTGCGGCCGAGCCAGACACTTGCCACTTCGTACAGATCAAGCACGCACACACAAACACCGAAAAACACGCGCGCGCGCACACACAAGCGAGAGAGGGAGGGAAAGAGAAAAAAGGAGTCTCTCGCGTAGCCGCGATGGAGGGATCGTCGCGGTACGAACCAAACACACGTCTTGTCGCAGCCAAGGCTTGCTGGCCACTAGTCGAAGGGGAGGGTAAACTACGCCGTCGACAGCGCCAGCTGCTCACAAAGGGGTCACGTGGTCTGCGCAATGACTCCATGCGCAGCCTATCCAGCGATTCGTGCGTCCTCTTCGCAAATATAATTGAAAACGACCACTATTTTACTTTCTTTTCTTTTTCTTGTTTAATTTTATCTACTTCTTACTAGAGAGTCCTCTTATTTTCGAGGTTTTGAAAAATCGAATTCTTGTTCTAGGAATTTTCTAAAAATACAGCATCTGGAATATGCGTGTAAAATTTGATTTGTATTAGGTTGTCCCAAAAGTTTCTTTCGCTTTATTAATAAGTAATAAATGCACAATGTTTTATGTTTTATGTTATTAGGTCGTCCTAAAAGTTCGTGTCATTTATACTTCAATTTCTCAAATTAATATGTTAAACATACTCTTAAGTGTCACAAGAAAAGATAATCTGTCTCATTTCACAATAGTTTCTCATCTCTCTCAGATAGTCATTATACCGTTACTAGAAAATTTCTGTGGTTTTTTATTCAATTTCGACACAGTCTTTGGCACGAACTTATGGGACGACCTAATACATTACTGAATTGTGCACGATTCATTTTGCTCCATTACTGTTACAACATGAATATCTATGAAATTAGATTGTCTATTTATATAAACACGACCACATAAAATAATTGAGTGCAACTCGCGAAAGAAACTTTCGGAACAACCTAATAAATTCTTTAAATCGACAGTGTTTCGTTTTGAATAAGGCGGGACAGGACGAAACGTTGGAAAATTATTGGTTCTAAATAACAGCCAGATATGTGACAGTAAAACAAACTGATTATCGAAGTATTGTACTAATGTCTTGCTAATTAATTCTCTTGCGAAAGGATACTTTATAGCGCGTCTTTCAGAGTACTTCGTTTAAAACTTGAAATATGTGTGTACGTTAGTCTACACTGGTCACAAAAGTTCCTAACTTTCGAACGACACATTTTTGACTTAGGTTCATTTAACTATACAATCGATCAATTCGTATAGGATAATAAAGTAGACATTCGGAGAGCTTTGTACAGTTGAACGTGTATATTTACATGATTATTGCAAATCGTCGTCGAATGTATTAAATTAAAAAACTCATTGCTCTTATCTCTGTTGCGTCACGACAACATACACACTCATAAAAAATGCTACGCAAGTACGAATAATTCAAGCAAGCCATGTACAAAGCGTGGTTGTTCTTGTTACGATTGTAATAAAAGATCAATTACATTTCTATGTAGTCATTTCACAAATCTTTGCATTACCATTGTTATAATCAATTTCGTATGAAATTATGTTTTGAAAATCATAATGATGAAATGCCATGATATAATCAGGTCTTTAAAGGTCTTATCTTACAATCGTAACAGCTTTATTAGACATTTTATTGCATATATTCATATTGTATCGATATCCATTCGCATTTATCATATACATGTATCGTTTCGGTCGTAAGTATACCCATAAAGGAGAGTATTATCTGTTCTTTCGTCCCGTTCAATTGTACACATATTTGCGAGGCATGTATTCACAATTAACGTTACGAAAGTAGCTAATTTGATAAAATTCTGATCGAAAGTAACAAGGGCCAAAATTATTGTGTCCGTATCTTTTTCCTTCTATACATAACGAAAATAATTTTTCTTTCTAACAATCACATTGTGCACGTTAACGAACTAGTTGGTACGCGACTAAACCTAATTCTTTCTTAAAATTTATTCTATCCGTCTAGAAACGCCCATTTCATTACTCTTATTCAGTATAGGTACAATCTGTGAATACAGGCCTGAAAACTTACAATACGATTGCGTAGGAAAATATGAAAAGGTTCACATCTCGAATTATCTCTTCTCACAGTAAATAGGCTTCTATCTTTGGTCTGACCGAATTCCCTTCGATGATATTCTCCAGTCATCCGCCGAAATTACGCATGGATCGCGTGAAAAATAAATTCCGCTCTAGTATCAGTTATTCCTCGTCATATTGCAGATAACACAGTCCTTTTGCTCCCTTTTCTCTATCGTATTCACTGAGTTCGTATAAAGACAACAGACACGATAAAGTTACGAGACATTCAATTCGAGACACTCAAGTAGGAAACCATCATCGCACCTCGGTCAATCTGAATAAACTGACATTAAAGTTTGCACGACAGGGGAGTTTAAACCCATAAGCACCCATGGACACACTATATATACGCATATATTCCCATACAGATCGAAGTACTCTTTCTCTCCCTTTATACATTCTTTCAAAAATTTGTACAAAATTTTGAGAAAATAGCTCCTCTTAAAATAGAGCCTCGACTTTCCAGTAATTCGACAACTTTTAGAAATTCGTGAATCCTTCTTTTTGATTGTTCACTGGGCACTGATGGGCACAGACATACAACGTTCACTTGGTGTGTTTAGCGCTGATTTTAATTGTCTAACATTAATCCGTAGTACTATGAACTAACAAGCGCGCAAGTATTAGTAATATTAAGCTCATGAGGTATAGTGTGCTTTACACCATAAGTAATCTATCCATTTGGCGAGAGATTGTATTAGAACCAAAATTGAAGTCGATAAAAATTGGAAACAAAATGAGACGTATAGGTTTACGTTGACATGTAGTTGTAAATTAGTTCACCTTTTAGATTAACCGTAAAGTAAAATTGACCCGAGAATTCGTGATGCGTGAGAATATTAACAATCTCTTAAGGTATCAAAAACGATAACTTAGTCACTTCGTACGTATAATGTCTGATAAAATTTGTGCAAATTCCCGACTTAATTCACGATAGTTTCTTTTTAAATTTGATACAGATAGAATATACGAATCACTATCCCGTACGATAGGAAGTTCGTGATATCGTTAAAGACATTTCACTGGACACCACTGGATCACTTTGTATAAATTTTCGTTAGGTATTATTGAGCGACGATACCACTATGGTTTACCGTTAAATTGGCTATAAATTAAGAAAGCTCAAAGCCAGTGTTACTAGTGACAGCGTAACGCAGCTTCTCCCTCAATGTACTTTTCTTTTGGTAATTTGGTAATTTAAGAAGATTGAAACACGTGGACGACGTGGGCAAACGATTTTGCGGATCTTTCTTACGAATTGTAAAGAATCCCCTTATCACACTACCTGATTTAAAAAAAAAAAAATTCAAAACGCGCACATGAAAATTACTATAATACACTGAAAATAAGAGGTTATTTAAATAACATGTGTGCTTTCATACCGATTGTATCACCCGTATCCTCATCATCGCCAACTTCTACGCAACGAATCGAAAACGGAGGGTCCAAGAATGCAAAACCCAACAGTGGCGATTTTGAGCAACTTGTGACAAACTATAAGGCAAAACAAACGTGAAGAAAGTATTAGCGACTATGTGTAATTATGATATTGTGTAATATACCTTTAGGAATAAGCCCCTTTCCTCTTCTGAAAAATCTTTCTCCAGAATATCCCATAACCAACATACAACGCGATGACTGTCATGAAAGCCACCATAGTATTGTGTATGCTTTCGTAAATCCCGTAAATCTAACGGGACGTTATCACCCGAAATTAATCTTTGCAACTAAAACCAGAAGAAGTTTAGACAAAAACGTTTTTTATAACATTAATGCTCTAACGAACTCTCGTCTTACTTCTGGAGTTGAAAATAACGCCAACCACTCGAGATTGATGATAGACCGAAATCCTTTGATAAAAGCAGCCGTCTGATCTTTTATTTGCATGTGCATTCTGAAGTGGGCCATTAGGTGTATGTAATTAATTTTATTCTCGTTGGTGACCGGCACCGCTCGTCCTCCAGGAACCAACTCGTGCGTAACTAATTTACCTAAAACATCTTCATCCAGAGAGAAAGTTAATTCTAACTGCCTAACGTCGCCCTTGTAATGCTTTACAAGAGTAAGACTTCGGTACAAGTCTCGATCTAAAGAAGCTAATTCGTCCAACCAGCTGTACAATGCTCCTCCAGTTTGCCCAGAAAATTGAGAAACAAAAAAGGATGCAAACGGAACGTCTACAACGATGCCCTGAAATCATATCGCGTGTAATATTGATTAACAAAGCGCCGTATAATATTGATATCTTTATCACTCACTTCATACACCGCTTTACCCAACATACGACCAACAAACTCAAACAGCTGCAAGTGATTATCTTGCATGGAGGATGTAGGAGACGGATAAAGTCGGTTCTCAGTAGTAGTTTTAAATAAATTTAAAGATGGATCGAAAACTTTCTTTATTGTCTCCTCTAAGAATTCTTTGAACACTCCATCTTGATCGATGCCAGCTTCAGCTAAACCCTGCTCGTTTACAAAACGAACTCTGATCACACCTTTAAGTGCCTGGGATGGCAACATTGCGAGTTGTCGGTACCCATCCTCTACTATGCGTGTCCTGCAAAATATTTACATCCTTATTTTTATTTAACATTTTCAATATAAACAAAAGTAGATGCGTACCTATGAACAACGATAAGCGTTGTCGGCGTACTATTGCAAGCACTCTCAGTTAAACCCAATACCGCTTTCTCATTAACCACGTGCTTACGAAACAATACCACGCGTTCCGAGTGGGGTATAACATGAGGCATCTTGGAAAGAAGAAGAGCGGCGCCGCGTCTACCTTTTTCCAAGTCTGCGAGAAAAGTTGACACTCGAACTTCCTGTTTTGAAAGCGTTTCAATTTTAAAATCGTGTAGTGTAATCTGAAAAGTATTTAGTTCAAAGTACTTAACTTTGCCAACCAGTGTCCGTCCGGGCAAAACGTCCGTCTACAGTCCCGTCGATAGATTGCCATTAAAAGTGTGTGGAGAGAGGTGAACAAGGGATTATTAGGAACCGACTTCACGTCTGGAACATCTAAAACTTCAGTACATAGCTAAACCGTTTATCGTATATAAATACACACGAAACCGGGAAAAATTTAAAACGTATTTTAAATAAATATAATGCGAATGTTAAAATACGCACCAAACAAGTTATTCAGAACAGCCTTGTACAAAAATTGATTTAAAAAATATGATATCGTTACAAAATCGGTAATCTTGAAGGGTTCTTGTTGTTCATACATTTCCATATCATCTAAGATCCTAGAAAAGAAAAATTGTAGTAGTATCGCCGATATTGTTAGACGCTTGTTTCAATACGTTTTAATATACCCACGTAACATAATGTGTCATACAATCAGAAAATAATATCAACATCTGAAATTCGGGTGCTGTACATTTTGTATTTGCAGCTAAATGGTCTAAAAATGCTTTCAAGCCACAATGTGGACCCAATGTTCCCAGAAACAAATACATGTGGTACAAAATTTTATCTTGATAGCATAAACCTGTTATAAACAATTATTAATATATTGTCATAATTGTTTATATATATACATACCAGTTAATATCTCCATTTTCATCTGTGTGAGCGTATGTAAAGCGATTTGATAAAGAGAACAAATTAAAGCTATTCTAGTAGTTTCTGGACTTCCCAATTTCCTATAATTCTTAGTATTATTATTTCTATTTGTACGTGCTTCCAAAAACGCCCTTCGAAAAATGTTAGTACCAACGGATGTGCCCTGTTGCTCTAGTGATGGAGCTATCTCTTTCTCTATAAGTTCTGTTAATGGTTGACCTAATGCAAAATTACAAATTTATTTTTACTTTAACAAAGGTACCTTTAGGAGATGAAAATATTAAATTTTACCAATTAATTGTGTAACTATCCTTCCTGTCCACAAACATGCTAACTGTATTTTTACATATGGAATAGGTTCTTGCAATGTTGAATCAACCTTTAATGCAAGCCACCCCAAGATAGGGTGCCAATGAGTTAAATTACTTTGTTTTGCAACTACATACTGTTGACATGCTTCCAACATTTTTGTTACAACAAACTATAAAATTTTATGAAAATTTAGAATTAATTTTGTAACCTACATAATGGTTACATGTTTTATAACAAAATTTGTACCGTAAAAGAAGGAAAATAGAGTTCTCTCAATACTTCTTCTCTTTCAATATTAGCTAATTGTATTAAATTAGCTAGTAAACACAGTGCATAGCTACCTTCTAAAGCATTAAAAACTATTCTCAAATTTTGTTCTGAATTCAATAGCTCTAGGCTTCTTGCAAACAAGTTGCAAGTAATGAATGATGAAATACACTGAAAGTATATTATTATAGTTATCATGTAATGTAAGAGAAAACTTGGATAAGAATGTTCTCTTCAACATACCACAGATGACATATTATTGAGATGATAGACCAAAGCAGGCACACTAAAAATGTTAATTAAAAATAGAGATACCAATTTGTCTGACATTTGGGAAGAAATTAGTGGTCTTAATGCCAAAGTAACTGCTGCTGAAAGCGCTATTGGTTTCAAGGCAATTTCCACTCTACCCAGGCCTTTCATTAGAAAAGCCTAAAAAAAAAAAAAAAGATGAGCAAAAACTTAAAATATTAATTCAAAAGAATTATGAACAAAATAGTCACCTGCATAATAGGATAAAACCCATTGTTGATTAGGTGACCCATTACATTTGCACATAGTTGAGTCATGCCACCCCTGAGCTTTTCCATTCCTCCTACTTTTAAAATTGCCCATGTTCCAGGTGATGTAAAACTAACTAATGTGTGTAATCTCAAATGGATGGATTTATGGTCGCACACTCTTTCTGGTTTAAGATTCTCTAAACCAGTCAGACAATAAAGTAACAATGTTTTCATTTGCAATATCCATGATATGTAGTGATCTTTGTTTAATACAAGTCCTACGTACGAAATTTCTGGAGACTCAGAATCAAGAGTCCATACTAGATATCTGAAATGTTACTTTTTATCAAACAATATATTTAGATAAAAAAAAGGATCATGCACTCTTTTATGCACGTACCTATATAATTTTTCTATTCTTTCTTGATCCCTCTCTTTCTTATATATATACAAAAATTTAGAAATAATCTTATACATGTGCAAAGCAGGTTTCAGTTCTATATTTGTTTCTGTACTGCCGTCATTGAGAAAATTTGTATCAAATTCTTCTCTGAAAGTTATACCTTTTGTTTAAGTATTGTACACTTTAGAATAGAATAGGTATAGAATTACAAACAATACTCAACAACAGTTGCTATAATACACATGATAAATAACAAGCAAAAATCTATAATGAGTTAAAAAAAATGGGAAACATTTAAGACTCCTTTTTGAAAATACAAATACATCGCGCATGTCCACGTACATGAATATTATTAATCATTTTGCAATAAAATAACGTAAATCCGCAGTGTTTCGACAACTCAATAGTAAATTGTCAAGCGTGTAAATATATAATTATCGTCAATCGATTAGCGGTCGGAGTGTTTTGTTTACAGTATACAATCGAACCGTTAGACACAAGTAGCGTAAGAGAAAAACAAGGATTTGAATAGGATTCAATAACAGGAGACTCACAATATTCTTTTACGGGTTAACCATCCCCTAACATAAGCCTGAATTAAGGTGACAGCAGCTTCTCTGTCTTTCTCATGGGCCCTTTCCTCCCTTGCGGCCTTCGTTTGCTGAAGGAAGCTGTCTCTTGACGACTCCTCAGCTTTAAACATCCTGAATTTACCGCGAACGCCCGCTAAGCACTAAATTATGCTAATGGCAAAACATTGTCAGCTGGTCATCCGTGGTTACTAGTTGACACCGTGATTTAACCATCCACTAGAAAATCATTCTTTACAACGAATTTGGTCACGTTGATTTCATTCGAGAATCAATCACTCCGACCGATTTGCAGCGATTGCCACTCGCCACAAGTTTCTCACTGTCACATAATCCGCGTATACTACCGAATGACAGCCAACTGCGACGGCCATTGTTATTAATTTGATTCGAGACTGGATATTGAGGACAAAGGATATTAGGTTAGGTTAAAAAGCACGTGACTAGTGGCGCCATGAGATCAACAAAGTAAATTATCGAACTGTAGTCGCGTAGACCGTTGATTCTTTCAACATAATTAAATTTTTTTATCGTATACGTTATATGATTGTCTTCTTTATTAGACGTCGATTAATTTGAAAATTGCATTAAGCGAACATAGGTCGCTGAAAACGGTTCTGTTTTATGGCTGTAAAACAGGATTAGAAGATCGCAGAATAAGTCGGTTTCGTTTTCTACTCGGAACAAATTGTATTTCGCAGTTTTCAAAAGTATTTTGAGTAGAGTTGTACGACAGTCAAGAAACATTGTTACATACTTCTTTTTCATAAAAATAACTGCCTATGTAATGTTGAATTTATAATACCACGTACTGCTATTCGAGATTTGTACTTTGTTTCACAAGGTATTGGAAACGAATTTATTAACAATTAATGACATACGTATCCTTAAAATTCTTATACCTTCTCGTGTACTGAATGTCATTTCTTCGGTATCTTTCTATAGAATTTCAAGACGTTAAAGTAAGGTCCAAAAACGATTTATCAAATATTATCATTCTGTTGGTATTAAATGTATATCCTAACCTTAAGATTAGAATAAGAAATTTCGAAAATGAATCTAAAACTTTAGTTATCAATATTTTTTAGTCACACTTATTGATGTACGAATTAAGTGTACAAAGATTTTAACAATCGATTACTAGAATATACTGGTATGTACCATTAAATTCGATCAAAATAGCTTAAAAATAATATTATTAGTATCCACAAGGATATTTTAGTTTCTAAGTCTTACGACAATCTTAACAAATATCTACAGAAAATGCACTCAAATCCACTCGTGCAAAGTTACTTGCTCATTCTCATTTTTTTCCTAAAATTCTTTTGAAGAATTTGTAAGTAAAAATATTAAATCTGAATCAAATAATCTTCTTGCTAAAAGCATTTGTCATAATTCTGTGAAATAAACTTATAGTACAAATCCTAATTTATATCTATCTTAAATTAATGTGTTTTGTTACTATGTATTCAAGGTAATCCATAAAGTTTTAATGTTCTATCCATACTAGTAGAAGCTATGTATTGTGCGTGTTTTCCGAAACGTACACCGGTTGCAGCAGCTGTGTGGTCGTTAAGCACTTTCAGTTCTTGCCATTGTTTACACAAATACACTCTGAAAACAAATGAAAGAAAAATAAATAAAAAAAAAGTTATCGGGTAACAGTACCGTAATGGATTTCTTAAGCACAATTCTTACCTCACGTCTGTGCCCGCTACTGCCAAATATGTTCCACTTTGATCAAAACAAATATCTTTGACTTCGTATGACTCCTCTAATTGAAGTGTTTTGAAGTTCTTCAGTTTACGCAAATCCCAAAGTTTTACACAAGAATCTTCAGCAGCTGTAGCTAAGTAGTAACCATTTTCGGAGAAACTAATTGCCGTAATTGGTCCCGAATGACCCGGGAAATTAGCTACATTCGATTGCTCTTTCAAATCCCAGATCTTCACTTGAGAATCAGCAGTACCAGTACCAAAAATCAATCCATCAGGATGGAACTGAGCTGTAGTTAAGGGTTGACTCACTTGACCGGCAACCTATAGAATAAAGTGTCACAGTTGATTTGAAACATATAGATTAGAATGTCTTTGTATCTTTCAGTCTGCATACCTTAGTCAATAATCTACCAGTTCGTATATCTGAGAATGCCCAATGTTGATCTAATGACGAACTTAATAAATAATCGCCTGTTGGATGTAATGAGAGTCCAGTCACGGGGGCATCGTGAGCTTTCAATAACAACGTCGTCTGACTAGTTCCTACGTTCCATACTCGTATTGTAGTATCGGGCGACGCTGTCATTACTATATCTTCTTCCGGATGATAAATTACTCGAGTAACCTAAATAACATTAAAATAGACTCATAAAGATTAAGAGAGTTTACATATGTAGACAAAAAATGATTAACAATTTATACCTTTTTGGTGTGTCCCTTCAGTATTGCAACAACTTGTTCTGTATCTTTATTAAATACTGTAGCATTCTTATCAGCACCGCCGGTTAAAATTTTGCTAGTATCCGCGCTATGTATATCAAGCGCGAGTATACCGGGTACGCTAGCAGAATGAAGACCCTTAAACAATTGTAAAAATATATTCAATATTTGACATACGGCTACAGCTACCAAAGACTACAAAAAGGTATATTACAGGATGAGATGCAAGCGTCTGAAATGCACGAATACTATCTTGAGGGAGCAAATCTTCGGGAACAGAACGTCCGCGACGTTTTCTTTCCTGAGTGAGGACTGTAGCTCTTTCTTGAAGTTTTTGTATTACATCCTCAGTAATACCAGCTTGTTCCATAGGCTGAGCTGCTGTGCCACCTGCTTCCACTGCAACTGCCTATAATAAAACAATATGTTGTTGCATGTACTTGATACAACCTTTAAACAAATTAGTATATTTTTCTCGTACAGGTTGTGGAATAGTGGTAGCTTGAACAATTCCAGCCTGTGGTTTCAAAGTAGCCAAGGCTTCTCTGGCAGCAGTGACTTCTTTCGTCAATCTAGCAATTACACGGCATGCTGCATCATGTTGGTATAAAGCATGAGACAATTCTTGCCGAGCAGTCTGAAGTTGTTGCCTAAGTGTAAATGAGTGTAACATTACAGCATCCCATTCATCTTGCAAAATCTTTAATATGGCTGGAATAGATGTGGCACTTGGTGGTTTAGGTTTAACTATTGGAGTGGCTGTAAAAAAAAATGAAAATATAAATTTCAAGTGAAGCTGGATAATGATAAACCAGCCAATTATCCTGGATTTCTGGAAAAACAGAGCTAACATACTTTTAATATCAATGAGTTGTTCTATAGTCAGCTCCTTCCCAGTGATAGGATCCACCCCATTTTCTGTTACGAATTTTTCAATTAAACGCCTTTCGAATATAGAACCAGATACAGGAGATACGACCGGGTGTTCCGGGACTTCGTTAGAAACTGAAAATATGTATACATTTATTTATTTATCTAAAAGTTTGGCGGCAATGCGAAGCATTTTAGGTTATGTTCAGTAATAGCCGGCATAAACAACTACTTTTATCACAAACAGTAATACTTTCATTATAATCGTATTGTTTAAGGTTACTGATGCAGATTTCGTTTAAATACTTGTACTTTTAACTAAAAACTACTTGTATAAAGAGGACAAAACTTACTCGCACAAGAAAGCGCCATTTTCAGACATGCGATATGTATGCTCACTAAGCCGCTCTGTGAGCGGGTGAGCTTACGAATCTTTCACTTCCGAACATAGCGACCGCTCCCTGGTGCCCGCTCTGTGAGCGGCTTAGCGAGCGGTGGCCTTTCTGGATGCACTCATTCACTGCGCATGATATTTAAATTGATTTACTACTTCCATCAATTTTCATATAAATTTAAACAAGTTTTTCAAAAAGTACGCACTTCAAACAATGAAAACTGGAACGCATAAGTTACAATGCCGAGAATACTTTTAATTACGCATGTATAAACATTATTTGCAAAACACGAGGAATGTCAATAAAATAATTTTATTAAGAAATAAATATTCGTAGTAAAAATCTTCTTATATATTTCTTTAAGTTAATCATATTTTAAATGCGCCCATTTACAAGATGTTAAAAATTTCTAATCATTTTTAAAGAAATCGCTATATCGAGAAAAGGATGTTATGTGTAAGTCCGACTTCCGTTTTAGTGAAGTAAACATGGCTCGTACGTTAGTTGTCATCTATTTTCTTGCATTTATTTTTGCAATTTCAAACGTCAACTCGACGAACAGTTACTATAGTTTTGCAAGAATCGAGGTACTAAATTTTCATATTTTTTTTAACAAACACGTTGATATGACATACTTTTATGTCATATCGCAATAGCTAAAAGTAATAAAAAATATTTCCAGAGCTGCAGTGGTTGTAGACTGAACCGGCTTCCAGACGTAAAGGACTTCATCTTCGAGGACGTACCTACTTAGTATCCTTTATTATAAATGATTCGTGTATCATTTGTTTTCATAATTCAAGTAATTGTTTTGGAAATACTGTTGGTCAAGTAGTAACTCTTTTATTTCGAAATTTAAAGACATTTTTCTTTTGTTATCTAAGACAGATAATCGCTCTTATATAAGATTCGTAATAATAGAGTATGTTTGTACATCATTTGTAAAGGTTTTACTTTTGTAATTATACCTGCAAATCCATACATGCAGATAATAAAGCTGTAATAAGATATTTAATAATAACATACTAAATGTTCATGAATCATACCAATAAATGTTTTGGGCCAATAGTATAAATGTATTATAAAGTAAAATTTTATTTTTATAAATCCTTATAATGTTTTACAGTGATAAAGTTGAATTCAAACATATTCGAGGTGCAGATCCAGAGCTTGTTCTCTTTAATGAGGATGGGGAGGTATAATGTAATTATTTAATAAATATGCATTGTACATTATAGAATAATCTAATATTTTTATCTTTTCAGGAAGTGGAAAGATTAGACATAGCATTGTTGACCAGAGATGAATGTAATAATTTATTAACATTAAAAGGTTTCGTGAAAAAGCCAAAACAGGATGAGTTATAAAATCTGAAATCTATTATAGCTGCATTCAATGTCAAGACATATAAATACCTGTCATTTTCAGAAATCACTTTACAATACTTATTGAAGTATGATTTACTTTGATAATCGTCTATCTATAGGAATATGTATTGCTATTTTAAATCAAAATGAATGTTCTTTGAGGAACACTAATTACAGTAAATGTAATATACCAGTATAATATTCCAAGTCCAAAGTTGGTATACGTGAAATATTGAAAAGGAAGGATTATGTATAATTTTATTATACAAAGCACAAAGTAATAAAGGATCTAGATTTCTTTTGATGCACAAATTATTATCGTTTATTATCTCGTTTTCCTGTATATGAGGATGGATGATCGACCATGTTTAAAATATTGTAACAAAATACTTGAGTCAAGTTGTCTGTGTTATTTAACATGTGTACTTATAACCTATAATAAATAATTCAATTAAAAATTGACATCTATTTATTTCTTTAATAAAGCTGTTTCTCTTTGTTACACGGTTAGGTTCCTTTTCGAAAATATAGTTAGAGAAGGATAATAAATTTTACGAAAAAAAAACAGGATTTATACTTTTTATTTGAAGTTTATTCTAGCAATTATATATTAAATAAACTCGTAAGGTAATTTACAATATCTGACTTTCAAAGGATTTACAAATTGTGTTTAATAAATAACGTTAGTAATATATTTTTAATACAAAATACGTTCAGTGACAAATATTTCATTCACAAGGTTTAATAACTTTCATGTACTCAGAACTATACGTGGAATGTCAATTTTCCTTCAGTTTGATGACTGATTGAATATTGAATTAAAATGTAAACTATTATTTTACTTTTTTCAAACATATAACATAATGTTGTTTTGTTAATTACCTTTTCTTCTATTTCCAGAACCACAATATACATAAAAACCAAAAAAAGAGTAAATTCTAGGTTTATACGCTTAATCTTATTTCAATTGCATCTAGCATCAATTTGACTTATATCTAGATTATATACATTTTTTATGTTAGCAATTTATTAAACCTGCATAGGTCCATATTAATGTAATAAAACTATGTTCGTTTGGTTTCTGCAGAAAACCAGTTATGTATGTGTTTTATAGCATAGGTAATATCTTACATATCTAAATATGGTATATTTATACATATATGTATATACATAAATATCAGAAGAGTAAGTTTCAGACTTTCAGAAGTCATAAAAACAACCTGCTTGAATACGTATGTTTAGTGAAAGTATAAATACAAATACATAACCTATAACTGTTTTGTATCGTCAGTAAGGACATGAACAGTGTTGTATTTAGATACAAAATTTATTTTTTTCTTAAAATCACAAAAGATTAAAAATAAAGTGTATGTACATGTACAAATGTTATTATAGCTATAACAATTAAATCCCGTTTGTTTATTCAAGCAGGTATAGTTACTACAGCGAGTAACAACGATTACACAAACGGGGAAAGATTGATGTATTAATAAAACAGTAATGAATCAATCCAACAAGTGGATAGAATTACAAAATATGGAGCAAGAAGTATGGTTGAACAAAAATGTTATGCCATCAGAAGCCAACAGATGAATACCAATGCCACCCACAGAAACACCTTCGAAAGAAATTGCTCATCCTCGTATTGAGGTGTTCCCCTAGCAGCTACGCAAAAAGGAATACTTGAATTCTAGTGCTTCTCAAACAACTTGAAATAAAACAATTCGTATAGAATATTTTACCTGCAGCAGGTCGTGTTTCTCCAAAGTTAAAAGTTGATGTGAAAAATGCAAATGGAAATGTTCCAATACCAAAAGACATGTAAGAACCATCTCCAAATCCAAAACTCGAAAATCCAATATTATTTTCAGGTTCTGTCCTCTGCCCCGCAGGACGTGGTGGAACATTATTTCTAAAATAATATGTAGGGTAAACTTTAACTAATTATTATATTATTAAAATAGAATACGTTTACATAAAAAAAATGTACCTTGGATCTTCATGCCTTGTAGCTCCACGTCCATACAATGGAATGACTTTATCTTTACTGATCGCAGCTTTACATACAGGGCACATTTGTCTTACTGGGCGAGTTTCAAACCATTGGTGTAAGCAAGGCCAACTAGACATACAATTTTTCAATAGGATTATATTTCTTTGAATTACAATGAAGATGTATAGAATATGTACAACTTGTTATACATAGTTCCTTACCAAAACAAATGTCCACACATGCTGATAACTGCATCTTTTGCAGTATCAAGACAAATGTTGCACTCAAACATTCGATTGTCTTTTTCTTTGTCTTCTGTTGTGGAGTCCCATGGTTTCGAAGGCCCTGCTTCTTCTCTCGTAGTACTCATGATGAAAAACTTTCTAACAGAATATGTCTAACATTACTACCAATCGACCACTACGTATAAATTGTATAGATCAAACAAAATATAGAATTATTCACAAAAGGAAGAATATAGAAATGTCAGAGCATGCAAGCAAAACACTAATTAGAGATTGTATGGAATAGTACTTACGAAAAAGAGAGGATAGATATTTTTGGTCATGAAAGTACTACTTAATTTCTACTATTGTGTCTAAGGATAACGAAGACAACATTCAAATGACGTATGAATTTTGTTATCACTTGGCATTGATGGCATTATCAAAATTGAGAAAAACAATTTCAGAAAAACAATCTTTGAAAATCAATCCGTGCGAACGACAGTGGTAAATGCGAATGTCAAGAACCGTTAAAGGTTAAGATGGTATATACGTAAAATAAATATGCAATATGTGTTCACAACTAGTTGTTATCGTATTTTCTAAATCCATTCTCACTTTCTGACGCATCATGTATCCACGAAGTGATATCGGAAGTCATATGTTCGCGACAAATAGCGTAGAAGTAACAACTAGTAGAAGCAAATGTAACACCGATATGTTTCATACGTTTTCGTGGAATGTAACGATGCAATTGACGATACCTTTACGTACGAGGCAGTTTCTTTAATCAAAATATTAGCCAAAAATTGATCGAGGTTCGTAAAATTCGATAATGTTTGGCAGGCAAAGGTCGCAAGCTCCCGTCAAAATACGAATCGAGCAGTGTCTGCCATTGCTGACATAATTCATGTCACTTACTTTGAGTCGTTTGATTACGGGCACCCCCTCGACGATAAAATTCTTCTCCAAACTTAATATTTGTTCCAAAAATGATCCGACGTATCACGCACACCGCTGTCGCAATTGCGCAAGTGCCATCAAATGATTTTCATGATTTTTTACGAAACGGATGTTCGGAATAACACGTAAGAGATTTTACAACGAAATGTCACCGCTTATCTATCGTAATTTTATCGTTGACGATCGTTCGCGCGAACTTTACGTGCTTGCACGTTTTATTTTTATCAGACGTGTCGTCGACTAACGTTACAGTTGCCGAGCTACGATTTTAATATGATTACTTAAAACCACCACTTGATTAACGCTGTACCGTGGCTGTGAACAGTTTCATCTTTTATCGACTGACCACCAGACACGAGCAACTTTCCCGTTGTTTCGACAGAGTACACTATCGGTACAGTGCAATACGTTTTGCAACATATTCTGTACTCGAACATAGTATTTATATAAATTGAAGCATACGATCAGAATCAGGAAGCATACGATTAGGTCTCATGGTACAGTAATTGTATGATACCTTATATTTTTTAATTGATAGAAAATAAAGAAAACGTGTCGCAACTGTTTGAATTTTATGAAGCGATCCAAGAGTATGACATTGACATACATTTAGTTCATTTCGTCTTTTAGCAATCTTCCAGGTATGTTCATGTTGAACGTAAAGACACCGTAAAGACCATTGCATATATTTTGAAAGAACAGTAAGATATTGACATAACTGCGATTACCGTGAAATTGATTTCTACATCACCATGGAGTTAAAGGCAATTGTACTGTTTAGTATGTACGACCTTGCCGTGGACTGAAATGCTTCAGAGATAATGTCAAAGTATTTGGCATATATGAAGCATAAGTTGTGTAATTAGTGAAACTGTGTTTTACAAGCGTAGTTGTAAATACATCTTGAACAAAGATTGTGACAGGTCAGTAGTAACCTATCGTACGAAGCAATCATTATCTCCTCACATACAATCTACATATATGGTTAATCTTGATTGGATTCGATAACGAAAAGTACACAGCAATAATTTTATTTTAGAATGAAAACAGAGGAAGTAGGATCTCCGCAGTTGACTTCCCCTAACAAGTTCGAAAGTCCCGGTTCTTCTAAATTAAAGCTCAGCTCGTTTGGGAGGGCGCGCAAACCCATTGGCAGAAACGTAACCTCAATTCTTCTGCAGCAGCGTCAGATGATTCGCGTAATAGATAATGACGTTGACGTCACGCCTAAGTTACTGACCCACCCGACGTTAAGTTCGATCGACGAACGTCAGATGACTGCGTTCGAAACGATTGGATTGTCACAATCTGGCAGCGTTGGGCAATTAATGTCTTCCTTTTCCACTTTGAGCAATCTAAAGAGAAGCTCTTCGATGGTCGTAAGAACGTCTTCGGTACCTACGAGCTCGATAATAGCTGATGACTCGCAATTCGAGAGCTTCTGGGCCACTCAAACGGAAGATTTACCCGTTGATGACGTGGACAAAGCTCCTTCTCAATTTTATCTACCTAGGTAATACGAGAACGGGTGTCAAAGTCAAAAGCAAAATGTTTTATAATCAACTTTAATAAATAACTCGTGCATATTTTAATGCTATTCCTACTCCTATTCAGTATCGATCCGAACATTTTTCCCACTCGGCCGGAAACCGTGACGCTGACCATGAAGGAGACAGAAACGTTCTTCATTTTCGAGATGCAACCGCGCACCGGCGATTTAAGAACACCAGAAGGCATGGCGATTAAGGAAGAAAATGAAAATTACGAGTACAAAACAACGGGACCCGGATCGAACAGGAAACTAGTAGATTCTCAAACTCAGACCATACGAGTTCTCACGAAATCGCGGGGCACGTACCTTGGTAGAAGAAAACGCGTAAACAAGGGAATGCTCGTAAATAATTGGGTCATCCACGACACCTTCGCTGAACCTGAACTGATGATCGAAAGGGATGGTCTGCTTATCGTACATACGAAAGAATCCATGGAACAAATGTGGCGAGCAGAGGTTTGAATAATCGTCGATCCTTAATTATTTAATTGCTTCAATAGTACAGACATACATGCTTTACATTCGACTCGTAGGAGGTGAAGTCTAAGTTGCCAAAGACCGAAATGCAGAAGAAAACCAGATCCCCCGAAGAAGAGCTGGCGTATATATTCCAGCACGTCAACTTCGTGAATGCTCTGCGAGTAATGGAGCGTATAATAGCGAACAATATTTACATCCACACGCAGAAACGTTTCATTGGACTGATCAAGCAGGACCCCTGTAGCCTCGACCTAGAGTTCACGTATAAACTGGATCTTCTTTGGACTCACACTGTAGCGATGTCCAGCGGCAGACCAGTGTCTTCCTTCAGTTGGAGTTACGCCAATAAGAACATCCTGGCTGTGGGGTACGCGGCGCGAGCTAATTCGGAAACAAAGGGCGGACTGGTGTTGATTTGGAACGCCAAGAACCCCGAATTACCGGGCCGTAGGTACCGTTTCGATAGCCAGGTGTCTGCCCTCGATTGGAGTCGCGATAGACCGAATTTGCTCGCCATTGGCTTCTACGATGGTCAGATCAAGGTGATCGACGTGAGCACCACTCACGTTAACGTGATACGCCAAAGCGAGAGGGTCACGTCTCCCTCCAGTTCACCGCAGTGGCAGGTTCAATGGTGGGCCGGTGACGAGCAATTCGACTACCAGGAACAGATTTACACTTGCGATCAGGACGGTCAAATCTTCTGTTATCGATACGTCGAGGATTTCATGTCAACGACGATGATGAAGATATTCAGGATAGAAGGTACGCTACCCGGAGTTAGCAGAACCTCACACTGCAACGTTTACGACACATCGATCAATCGAAGCCCTGGAACGCTGGTGCTCTGTAGACATCCCACCTCGAGCACCATCTACTTCGTTGGCTCGGACGAGGGTTGCGTTTACAAATGCTCGACCAACTATCTGTACCAGCACATAGAGAGCTTCCTGGCTCACGACGGACCAATGTATTCCATGCAGTTCTCACCGTTTTGTCCGAAAATCTTTTTGACCTGCGGCGCCGACTGGTGCACGCGAATCTGGGTCGAGGGACTCACGGAACCGTTGATCACCTTGTCCACGACGATGGCCTGCGTTCGATACGCGGTATGGTCTCCCACGCACTCCACGATCATCGCGAACATCGTCAATAACGAGATTTGCATTTGGGACATTAAGAGAAAGACCTACGTGCCGTCGTCCGTGACGTTGTCGCCCAACAACGTCAGGTTCGTCATGCTCGATTTCACGTCAGACGGTAACCAACTCGTAGCGGCAGATGTCGAAGGTGAGGTGTACATTTACAACTTGGAGGGAATGCCGTTTCCGCCGTACAATCAGAAACAGGTGTTGATCGAGTCAATCGAGAAAGCCTTAGTCACGAAACCGGCTCTTCTAAGAAACTTAAAGAAACTCGTGCCGTCGTATTCTTAATACGATATAACCGAGTCTGAAGAACCAGGCGAAGAGAGCAAGGTACGAGTAAAAAATAGTGAGTTTGATTATTTTAAATACATTTACTGGTCTACTTTCAACGTTGAATTGAAACTTATTTCCGCTTCTTTCATTTTTAGACAGTGAAGAGACCGCTTTCTACTCTTTATTTTTCGATGATCCCTACTCTGGTGCTTTTATACGCGGAACGATTAAAAGAATCACAAGTATAACGACGTAAACTGAGCTATGTATAAAAAAACAACATAAATCTAGCGATTATCGAGCAGTACCGCAAAAGCCGCGTATTCAAAGTATCCGTAAATGGAAGCGGCATTCCTGGAGTAGCGCATCGGTACAGAGCTCAGAAGTCTGCGCGAATTAAATCTGAATTTTATCGAATTTTATAGCGGTCGCAACTTGGCAAGACGAAAAAATATCGCTGTTGTATCGTCGCGTAATTTCCATCGTAAAGCGAGCGTTGAGATTATCTTCGTTTAAATTTCAATAAGCGGCAGGACGCAGGACACCGGAGTCCCGGTGCTCGTCCCGGAGGCCCTCGAGTCAGTCACGTCGTTACGCGGAACAGATACGGGATTTTAAACTTCTTTATCGACCGTGGAGCCGGAGGCGAAATCCAGCACGTGGGGACCCCTTTCGGTCCCCCGAAGCGAAGCGTGGCCCCGAGGCCTCGCGTGATTCGCGCAAAGGACGGAAAGCAAAGCGACCATTTCGATTCAGAATGGAACTCCGGTGCCGGGGCCCACTCTGAGGCCTGGTAGGCAGGCGAGTCGGCACGGATGGCTGGCTGGGTTGCTCGGAGGAGTTGCAGGAGAGTGCCATGGTAGAGGGGCTTCCATGGCTGCTGCCGCTCGCGGGCACGAACCGCGCTACCGCCGTCAGCAGGCAGTCTTATTACGCCCGCACTCAACTACGCGAACTAAGTACTCTTCTTAGGCCGGACAAACGTCGCGAATAACAATCGCGTGTTGGGCCTACGCGAATCGGACGCACCTCGAATCGGTGCACGTTCAACGCCACGAGTCCACCACGACGTCTCTTAGGGTTTACGCCGTATCTGTTACTGGTCACGCGTGCTCGCTGGATCCCGCGACGACTCGTTCTTTTCGAAGCGATCGAAACCGATCTCGGAATAATATTATCGAATCGAGCCGGGAGGCGTCGAGGATCCTTCGAGTTCGATCGGCCGGCGAGGATCTGCTGCTCGGTCAGAGGTAACTTTAGAACGTTTTTTTATTCCAATTGTTGTGTCGACGAATCGCGCGCTTGCATGGAGATACATTTTTGTTGGACATTTACGTGTTTTTTCGCGTAGAAACGTAATTTCTTGTTTCGCGGGACGTTAAGGTCGACGCACCGGTGCATACTCGGTTCGTGCGAGACGTTTGTTCTTTGGGGTACTTGTAACATATTTTCGTACACTTTTATTCTAGGACTGCGTTAAAAATGGAAACAACATGTACGTATGTACTGTATCAAAGCAGGATGAAAGGGCGAGGTTCATAAAATAAGGCTGTGCTACGCAATCTAACCCAACTTAATTGACTACTTAACCCCTTCTAACCTACTATATCGTTTCCGATACACTCCAGTTTATAGCAAGTTTCATTATTATCACAGTATCCATTGTTTGCTTTCGTTTATAGATTATGCTTTGAGGTTAAAGATAAATCCAAGTATCAGAGTGATCAGTCGTGATAACCTTTTAAAAAAATAATATTC